GAGGGTGTCCCACACCTGTTGAAGTTTGTGAGGAGACACCTCCTGATCACGGAGAGTGTTGAGGAGGGCACGAACGTCATGTTCCTTCCATGGTATGGCCTTGAAGCCAAGGCGCCTGAGTTCTTCATAGGAAAGGCATCTCATTCTGAGGGTGCGGAACCTAGCATCACCCAGGAGATCCATGAACTCCCCTTTGAGCTCGAGAGAGATGAGGGTGGTGCCTGAGGGCATTATAGCCGCCATGTGCGGGATTTGTCCGGCAGCCGGGAGGAGATAAGAGAGGAGCCTTTCCCCCCATTTCTCCCGCAGGCCACGCTCCAGGGCCCTCTGGTTGGTAGAATGGTGCTCGGAGACATTCCCCGGTTTCCAGTGGCGCCACCGGCTCACCGTACAGGGGGCCAGCAAGATCCCTTCTCGTAGTTCGCGCCACTCACAGCGGTCTAGTTCTGCCCTTCGTTGGATCACCTCTGTAAACATGTGAGAGGGGGTGCCTGCAGCGACCTTAGTGCAAAGGTCCCAGAGAGAGGTGAAGATCCCCTGAGCATCTTCCTCCCCCGTGGGGCCTGAGAAGAGAGAGAGAGCTCTTTCCACAATAAGCTGGAAGACCAGTGTAGGGCGGTATGAAAGAACCACCGGTCGTGGTGGCCCATCGGGGACACCTAATACACGATCCAGTTCCTGGGTAGGCCTACAACGGGCCATGAAATCCACAATTTCTTGCCTCCAGGGACGTGTCACATCAACTTGTTCCTCCTCGAAGGAGCGACCCGACCCCCTGATGATCGGGTCTAGTAACACTCCTGCAAGAATCTCGCCATCCGATTGAAGGGGGCCGATGCCTTGCTCAAAGAGGGCAGAGATGAGAGGGTCAGGGGCCCTAACAAGGGCCCTCCCAAAAGGAGATGGGCAACAAAATACGAAGGTAGTCATCCTGAGCCACGGCGACTACGGGAGAAGGAGAGGAAGGGAAGAGGGAGAGAGAGAGAGAGAAGAAAAACCAATGCAGTCCAAGGGCACTTGTTTTCGCACGGGGCGAAGGTCTGTAGGCCGACGGTCTGGCAAGTAGTCGTTCCCTTGTCGGGGAAGGGGGGAACCATCAGGGCCAAAGGCGCCTGGAGGTCCCACCCCCCCCCTTGAGGGCATTCCTGTTGCCGAAGAAAAGGCCTGTGACATGGCCCAAGTCCTGAGTAGTGTAGGTACTAGAACTTAAGACATTCCCCCTCAGGGCCCAAGGCACATGACCTCAAGAAAAGCTACAGCAGCCCGAAGGGGGAGGAGACCCCCTTCAGGGCCATAGGCACCTGGCAGGGGTTCCCCTCCACATGCCTTGTTCAAAAAGAAAACAGGGCTCAGGCCGGGCGGACCCGGGATGCCGCAAGCTCGTGGATCTTCTTGAGGCCATCCCGCTCCGGGTTGGAGAGCACCACCGACCAGATCATGTCGGAAACCTGGCCCATGAGGTTCGTCTTGCTGAACCGGAGCCTGGAGCTAAGGCTCGGGTTGACCCGGAAGGAGCGATCACGGGGGGCCGCCGTGGGCTCAACCCTCTTGTAGAACTCGATCCGGTCCTTGACCCAGGACTCGTAGAGGTGCTGGGGGGGCTCGTCCAGGATGAGCTGGAGCTGGGCCGACTTCCCTTTGTGTTCCCCCGTGATGAGAAGGAAACGGCTGGCCCCTCTGCCACTTCGCCAGAACCCTTTGCAGTGGCGGCAAACGTAGCCCCCACGAGTCTCACCCTTCTTCTTGTCAACGATTTCCCACAACGGGGAAACGGAGCTGAGGACCAGGCCACACTCCATCTTGGCCCAGAAGACGTGGGCCGTCTTATCCCCCGTGTTCTTCTTCTTGTAGTCGTCCGAGGCCACGCTCGTGACATTGTCCGGGGTGATGGGCGGGAGAGCGCGCTCCTGCTCCGACGCCGGGTCCAGGGGGATCCTTTCAGCGCCAAAGGCAGCTGAGGAGTCCCTGTCCCCCAAGCCGAGGCCTTTGATGTGGCTCTCCGAGTAGCCAAGCTTGCGGTAGATGGGGCCGGCGTACTCTGGCTTGAGGCGGGCTGTCCACCACTGCACGGTGTTGCAGCGCCACGCCATCTTGACCTCCACCACCGACTCTTGACCCAGCGAGTTGGAGAGCATGTTGTAGATCTCCGGGAAGTGGCGGAAGGCCTTCAAAGGAAGGGTGATCCTTTCGTCACATACGGCTCTCAGTCGCATGTGCTGCTTGGAGTCATGGATGTCAGCCACAGGGAGATCCAAGACCACCTGCGGCGTACGGTTGATGAAGACCTTGGCAGCGAAAAATGAGCCGATCTCGCGGTAGAGCTGCTTCCACTCCTGGTTTGTCGTGGGCACCGGGAGGTCGTGCAGAATCACAAACTCTTTGGCCTCCTTCATCAAATCCCGGTGGTCCTCTCGTCGCTGCAGGTTCTGCTGCTTGTTCTTGGCCCCTCTCTTGTGGGACCTGACGGTGATCGGCAGGTGGCTCCACACCGCGTAGAGGTGCCTGGCCGAGTAGGTGTGGCCGAAGCAGGAGAAGAGGCTAACCAAGTCCCACGTCTGCACCTCCTTTCTCCAGTGGGTGTTCCCGTCCCCCTCAGCATGGAACGGGCCGATGATCTTATCCAGGGGGGGCCTCGTGCCCATTGCAACCTGTGCCTCAATCTCCTCCATGGTGAGGGCAATCGGCTCGAAGAAGGGCTGCCTGAAGGAGCTGGGGTGTGTCCTCATCTCCAGCATGATCTTTTCCCCTTCGGGCAGGGGCTTTGCCCACGTAGGGGGCTCAAGGGGCCCCGGGTGCTGCTTCCATCTGCCCCCGATCATGCGCTGCTCCCCCATGTGCAGCTCGATGATGCGTTTGAGGCGAAACATCTGGAACTCGACCGAGCCCACCGGAACTCCCAGAACTGCCTCCGGGGACTGCTCCTCAGGGCCAAAGGCACCTGTGGAAGACAGCCCCTCGCCGGAGTCCCGGGCGACGCGCTCGCCCTCACGCTGCAGAGCGGCCAAAGTGGGAAGCTCCTGCAGAAGAGAGGCAGGGAAAGGATTCCTGCTCTGGTTCAGCAGGAACTTCGTGTTCAAGTACCTTTCCTTAAGGGCCTCGATGTCGTCAAGCTCCATATCCTTGAGCGGGCACTCCGGGTTGAACACGTTCATCTCCAGGGCCGCGCGCAGCTGGGTGCCCCAGGCATCAATGGAGTCCGCCACCGGCCGAAGGAGCTGGGAGCGCTGGGATCCCTCATCCTGCATGCGCTTGTTCGAGGCCTTGGCCTCTTCCAGGCTAGTCTGCGCAGCGAAAAACTCGTCACCCTGATTCCCAGGGCCCTGCAGGTAATTTCGCTTAAGGAGGGAACGAAGCTTCTCTGTATCCAGCTGCCGGAGGATTGACGCACCCTTTGCCTCCTCGACACTCTGTGCGCCCGCCTGCATCTCCACGATCACATCCAGCTGGGGATTGATGTGATCCCTCTTCCGTGGGCTTCTTGGGCTGCTTGTCCACCGGGCCCGAGCTCCTCTTGGTGATGTCCATCGCCGCCGCCAGCTGGGGATGGAAAGCCCTCGTCTCCTGGCTTGGTTGCCAATCACCCCGGAGGTGGGGTCTGTCCCCTGCCTCCTTGTCGGCAAACTGCACCTCGTCGAAGGGCTGTGTTGCCACCGTGTGAGCCAAGCTAAGCCTCAGGGCCATAGGCACCTGGTCGGCGAAGCTCAGCTCCTTCTGATCCGTGGGCCTGGGTGGCGGCTGAGCCCAAGAGCCAATGTCCACGGAGGCGGCTTCCTTCTGGGCCTCGTCTGCATCCGTGTGCCACCCCTGGGGGCCACAGAACATTCGCCAGGAGGACTGGCCTAGCTTGATCTCTGCCGAAGGCGGGCCCTTGTCCACGGCGATGACCAACTTCTGGCAGAGCTTACACTTCCCCTCCACCTTGTTGTCCTGCCTCTGCCAGTCGGAGAAGCAGTTCGGGCACATGAGGGTAGCCCCCGTGCTGCCCGGGTCAAGTTGGCCCATGCTGCTGTGCCCCACTCCTCTGCGAGCACGGTTGTAGGGGGCGGCCAGCATCTTCTCCTGTGCCAGCTGTCGTTTGTAGATTTGGTACACCTCAAGGACTCGTTCCACAGCCGGGCGGCTCCACTGCTCCGCCTTGAGCTCGGAGAACAAGGAGGCGATCTCCTCCTTTGTCAATTGCTGGGCCCAGTCTGCACTCTTCTTGCCGATGCCGGGGAAGTTGTCCGGGAAGCCCTCGATTTTGAAGACCTTCTCCTCCAGGGTGCCGGCGGGCAGGGCCGAGTAGGGCCGGGGCTTGTTGGCATCGTCCTTGGCCACCGTGTCGCCGCCCTCAGGGACAAAGTCACCTGTGGTTGGCACCTCGGGCCTATCCATGGGGTCATCCGCCGCAGCACCCTCAGGGACAAAGTCACCTGTGGTTGGCACCGCCGGCTTGTCCATGGGGTCATCAGTAGCAGCACCCTCAGGGACAAAGTCACCTGTGGTGGGCACCTCCGATCCCGTGGTGTCCATGGTGGTGTCCTCCTTGACCGCCACCATCTCGCTGCCCTTGGCCAACAGCCTTTTCATGGCAGCTTCCATTTCCTGGAGTCGCAAGTCCATGCTGGTGTCATCCACCTCCAAAGACGTGAAGGAAGCCAATGCCGAATTGGCCGACTCATCCTCGTGGGCATGGACATTGTGGGCCAAGGTAGCACGAGCCAAAGCAACTTCGTCGTCCGGCTTTTCCCATTCCTGATCACTGTCCCCTGTGTCGCGAGGGGGGATCAAACTCTCAACCGTCTCCATGCTGGAGACCAGGACGTCATCGACATTAGCAACGGGGGTGAGTGCCATGGTCGACAGTCGCAAGGGAGAAAGCGGGAGCGGTTTCAAATTTTGAAGGACCCACGGTCCACGATCTTGGGCCAAAATGGCAGAGCCATTTTGGCAGACGTCTCCTGACATAAGTCTTGCAAGTCGGCAAGCTTTGTTGCAAGTAACTATTCCAGGCCCGCTGCCATACAGGAAACGCCAGCACGGTGACCAACTCATGTCCGAGCTTCCAGCCAGAACCTGTCACGCTGACGCAGACACTACTGATGCAGGATGTGTAGTCGTGGTCTTCAGACACACCTGGCCTGTAGCTTCTGACTCCAGGGTTCGATAAGGCTGTCCGCATCGTCCTGGGCGCAGTTGCTTGGTGCCTTGAGAACATCCGACAACGTCGAGTCCTGCAACAGGAACAGCTGCAAAAAGACCTGGCCAGCACCTGTGCTCACTCGCGGACTGCAAAAAGCCAACGGTATCGGCTGCCGAGGACTTGGCTCCACCAGAGTTCCTGGCAAGCTGGGCCTCAAAGAGCCAGCGTCGGTGCTGCTTTCGCCTCGAAGCTCCGAGGCAGTGGCCGATGGCAACAGCCTTCGAGATGCACATCAGAGCCTGCGCTTGGGGCCGCCCACGATTTGGATCCCAGCTAGGCCAGAAGCTGCAGCTGTGCAGCTGGAGCTCAGCAGCGCGTCGCCTCTAGCAGCTCCGGCTTCTGCCCCTGGACGCGCTCCGCCAGCCTCGGCTTGTGACTTCGAGCAGCTTTCCAATCCCAGGCACTTCAGGTGGCCGGCGAAAGCTTCAGAAGCATCGAATAGGGATTCTCGAAAGGAAGAGCGGTCAAGGCCCTCAGTCGCACGCTCGGTTTTGAAATTCACAATACAAGCATGATTCGCTGTTGCCCCAGCTGCAGTCGTGCACAGTGTGATCCTGTGTCGCCAATCTGGGACTCGCGCGGCACCTTGCTGGCTGGCTCCAGCATTTCCATCGCCTTCTTCCTCAGATTGGGAAGCCCACCGCCGAACCCAAGTGAAGGGGCCACCTGTCTGCTCAAACCTGCATTCACGGCATTTCTATTTTGTTGTAAGTTGTATCCCTGCGACAACTGCCTGCAAATGCACTTGACTTAATGTGTCGCACTTGCAGGGCTGCAGAGAGGCACTCTGGCAGCAGACGTTAACAGGCGCAGAAGGTTTCTCAGGCCGGTGCATTTCGTAATACTCTAGCCTGCGGCTGTCGCTTGAAACTTCGCATTTCCAGACTGATAACCGTGGTCATGACACAGCCAAGCTCTGAGACAAAGAGTCGTTGGGCCCCAACTTGTCCATCTGGGTCTCCGCACGAGGCGTCTTGGCCTGAGGGGCCGGGGACGTTTGGAATCCTCACAGTCGTCTACTGATGTCTACTGTCTACAGGAGATGTTTTGGCGGTCACCATGGTCCAGCTTGGAATCAGAGTCTGTGAGCCATGTCTTTCTGCCGCACGTCAGGGAGCTGAGGCAGGGTCAGCAAGCTGGCTGCTATCTTCAGACATGACCAGCTCCTACTGCAACCTCATCTCGGTTGCTTGCGGGCCCCGAGGCCCTCGATCCGTTCTGCAGCTTCTAGAGCCAGACTGTACAAGGCAATCTCTGTCAGCTGCAGGGCGATCAGGCGATTCGTCCATGATCGATAGCATCACCTGGGCCAGGTTTTTTGGCCCTTCCATAGAAATGTAATTTCAATCCCTTTCAGTGCCACGTGTCTTGGAACAAGAAAATCCAGGATACCCGTTGGGCTTAATAAGTTCTGATCTTGACATAATTTTCAATTTCTGTGGATTGTGTGTATGAGGTTGTGTAATTTTAGGTTCAAGCTTCTGCAGTGTCAGGCTCCAGCAAGACATCCGTATTAAAACCAAACCTGGCCCGGGTTTGGAAAGAAAATTTAAGTTTTATGGGTTGTTTAGCATAGGACTGCCTGCTCTTGATCGAACTTCAAGTAGTGGGAATGGTGCGAGGCTCCGTGGGAGGCTCCTGTCGTCGGTCCTTTAGCCTCGTCTTGTTCAATTGATACTTCCTTCTTGGAGAGGTGAGTGCACAGTTCACTGTGAAATCTTTTGCCACACGGAAGCTGCGTTGACACCGGGGCCCGGGCACTCAACACTAGAGATGTTCCAAAATGGAAGCCCCGCCCTGGTGTCAACAAACGTTTGTCGACACCAGGGGGGACCTGAACCGGCCCATATGAAAGAAGCGACAGGTTAACACCATAGAGCCGGACACCAGGATCGTGACTCATGGCCTAGAGTTGGCTTGCAAACCATGGTTTTTGGTGTTGACAAACGCTTGTCGACACCAGAATGGGGGGTCTGCAAAAAAGAGATCCTGGTGTTGAGACACATGTCCCTGGTGTTGACAAACATATGTCAACAGTCTCAACACCAGGATTTCTTTTTTGCAGAACCCCCCATTCTGGTGTTGACAAGTTTTGGTCAACACCAGGATGGACCCTGTATACTAGCATGCCTCCAACACCTCACCAATACCTCCTCAGCACCTCCCCAGTACCTCCACCCGACCCAGCACCTTGGGATGCTGCGAGCCGTGAAATCAACTCGTATGTTGGGCGCACATATGCAGGCAGCCAACTTACGAGGTAAGACACGTGGCGCCTAAAGGAAATAGAAATTAAACTTCTGTTGATCAGCCAAATCAGTGGGGTTTGTGGAGGTTGGTCTCAATACATATGCGGTGCTGGAGCCTGCCACTTCAGAAGCTTGCAATTACACGACCTCATTATACCATACCACATCCATAGAAATCAAAAATGATTTCTAAACCTGCCCCAGTCACAGCTTGAACCCAAAGGTGGGTCCTCACTGAAGCTCCTGCAAGTTCCACACCGAGCACAGCGTCAACTCGCATCAAACCAACCTGCCATCTAGTGCCAACAGGCTCCTCATCTCTGGGGTCTGCGACGCACTGGATGGTCTCTTTGCCTGCAGCACTTGACAGCCGTCTGCCCTAGAGCAAGACTTTTAGCCAACTGCAGCACATCATTTCCATGTTCCGTCCATCTCTTTGTTACGTCTGCTTATCTCAGCGGCGGTGTGCACTCTGGTGCCTCGCGGCAGCGTGGGCATCAGCTTGTGATGGCCGCAAAGGAGCGTCGTGTGGATCAAGACCTGCTGCTTCCCGCTTGCAGCCTACTCTCAGTTCACTCAGGACTTCTCAAGCCGCCGTGCTCCTCTTGGGTGACCTCTTCGAAAACAAAGAGAGCCAGCTCGCAATCAAAACCATTTCGGAAAATGCGGAAGTTCGCAAAACATCGGGACTGATTCCGGAAAGCGAATATTACCTCAAAATCCAACAACCACAAGCCCTGAAAGAAGACGATAAAAATAGTGCATGGCGAACCCCAACCCCGAAATCCCTGAAAGAAAAGGAGCTTGGTGGGAAAACCTAGAGCCCTAGAAGGCATGTTCGTTGGCAAGTCTCCAAACGCCACAAGAAGATCTTGGTTTAAACCCTAAAAACGAGCGTGGGTGGCAAACCCGGATGCCAAGCCCAAACCCTGAAACGAAGGTCGTGGTTTACTTCAAAAAGCCCCAGCCAAACCGTAAAAGGTGAAGAAGATGTTGGCTGACAATCCCCTCAACCCTCAAAGGAAGAACCTGGACCGCACCCCTTAAGTTCAGGAGCTATACAGATCATCTTGGAGGGCAGACTCAGAAAACTACACCCGAAGAGAAGAACACGAAAGGAGTGAGCCCTTGTGGGGTTTGTCGTTGAATCGGTCCGCGGTTCTTTAAATTGGCTGCTGAGTTCGGGAACTTCCGACAAACCTCTTCGCTCCTCTGGCGCTTTGCGCTTCACCGCTTCGCTCCGCTTCGCTCCGCTTCGCTCGCGCCGGCCTCGTACTCGCAGAGCGAGCTTTCCGTGACGCTCACGATGCGCGACTCGGGCCTGGCACCGGGCAAAGCACGTGAAGCCATACGGCTGTCATTCAGGATTCAGGGTGGTAGCACTGATCCTCGGTGCTGCTGCTGGCCCTGGTGGTGCTGGCTATTGCTGCATTGCTGCATTGCTGCTGAAGCAACTGCAGCATGTCTGCAGCTGAACCCTCCAGACAGACGTGTCATTGGCGCTGCGTCTATCCTTTGTCTACATATCTGTTACTTTCACAAGATTCATGAAGATATCGTTTCTCCCCTTGGTGCCTCGTCTGCCAGTCAGGCGGACACTGGAAATGCATCGCTGCCCGCCGGGGCTGTGATGTCTCATCGCAAACCTGGGAGCATGCTGCTTCCCCTCTGGCCAGCTGCAGCCATGGTACGAGATCCGCAAAATCCAGCCAAGTCTCATTGCCACCTCCGAGGCGCTGCTCCAGGGTCAAGTGTCGCGACCTGGAAGAAAAGAAGACGAAGAGCTGATTCTGATGCCCAAGAGCTGATGAAAGAAGAAGAAGTCTAGCGGCACTGATGATGAGCGACTCAACGCCAAGGCACGGCGGGGCTCGTCTCTCCCGCGGGCTCATGCTCGGTTTCAGCCGAACCATGCCTCGAGTGCAAGCTCACTTGACAACTGCAGATTCTCAACAGAACGACAGGAAACTGCATTCTCAACTTGATGTAGTCACTGTAGTCGTCATGCTGACAGCCATACCCAGGGACTCAAAATAAGTCAGAGCACTCATGTTGACCCGGTTCGGCGACTTGCTCTGAGGCGTCCCCTGGCGAATCTTGCTTTACAGGGCATACAAGTAGGATCCAGAAGCAGCAGCAGGGAATTCATGCTTGATATCCTTTCGCCCCTACGCTGGGCAGGCTGGCATGTCTTTCATCAAAGTCTAGGTCTGAAAAGGATCGGCAAAAACCAGAAGCCCCACCTCTAATGTTCCCAGCGTGTACTGCGGAGCACGTTTGTCATTCTCCAAATGGAACTGCACCAAGTTCGAAGGGTAGCAATACCTCGCAACGTGGGGACCCGTTTGCAAGCCTTCACGGAATCCAACGGCTCCTTGCTTGTAAGCCAAGGCGCTCATACGTCCACCACCCGCGAGAGATGTTGAGACATCGGTTTCGAAGGGGTTCTAACCTCGGCTCAGGACGCAAATCGCTAATAAGTCCTCCCTGAATGCACAACCCCTGCGAGGCATCGACAGCGCCGAAGCAAGCATGCGGCTGCCGTCTGGCGCGCTCGCCTGGACACCAGGGAGCTCCCCGGCAATGTGACTCCTCCAAACTAACCGAATGCCAGCCTCGGCCCCGTCCCTGTCCTTCCAAGAGCAGAAAGCTGGTCCTCCCATGTCACTGCCATAACCGTCATCCTGTTGTTGTGGGCAGTGTGTCCTGAGACTGTGAGGGTGTAGAAATGCACAGGGTCTTCAACGACCTGCCACAGGCGGAGAGCCGCGAACAGGGCACAGGATCCGATGCTGGCAGGCCCAGGGAATGACTTCTTGGGTCCAAGTAAGTGCTAGTTCAAAACCTCAAGAATCCGGCCTCAAGCGATGTGGCCGATGTATCTCCACGTCCGCACACATATCTGACCTTGCAGGAATAGCAGTGGAACAAATCCACCGCTGAGCCCAAGAATTAACAAGACCGACCAACAGAGCCATGACTATGAAGACTCTGCAAATCGACAAGGGCACCTCGGTACTGCGATTGTCGGTGCCGCCCAAATACAACTCGCCTGCAGGAGTTGTTGTGCACACGTCAGCATCATGCAAGGTCCCAAGAGCGCCCCAAACGGTTTCTGGAACGTTGTGGAATTCATACCCACGGACTACGGACAGGAACCACTGGAAACATTCCTAGCGACTTGAAGTCCAAAATGTGAGTGGCACCTTCACTGCGACCACGACTTGCAGAAACGCGCGCGACTGCGGTGCATAAAACGCCAAAACATGCCAAATCCACGAACCACGAGGGGCACCATCGCGACAACACGCTCTGCGATAGTGAAACCTCGAAGCCCCATTAGGACTCCACTTAGGATTGCCCTGCCACGACTTGATAGCAGATAGACATACCAGTTTGCTCACCCGACAATCAGACATGTCTTCTGGACACTGCGAGAGCGCACAAGTCGTGTAATTTCCAATCGAGGCGGAACGGGAGTCCGCGTCACGCGCGCTCTGGCGAGAGCGCAATGCTTGGAACTTCGCGCCACGCCGCGCGGGTGCGGTGACAAGTTATCAGATCCTCCAAAGGACACTTGGAATCCCCGCAAGGAACTGCGCAGGCCGTCACTGAGATTTTATGGCTCTACCTGTCTGCAAGCCGGTCGCGGACTTCGCCGGTGGGCAGGAGACGGTCGGACTTGGGGTGATGTTCGCCCAGTGAGAAGCGCATGCCAGCCTTAGCTACAGCTCTGCTCCCGAACAGACATGGACATCGGCAAACTGCGATCTGAAAATCAAGAAATCGCAAGAACCGCAGTCGGACATGGGTACCGGGACTTGATCTCTGCCCAGAAGCATCGTCGCGGTATTGAACCTTCGGGCGGGCATAGCGAATCCCCGCCCCCGGCTCTCTCTGTCTTCCTTCTAGTCTCCATCAGTGAAGAGCTCAGACTGTCTCATGCAGCAACAGACTGTAAATCCTAGGCCCTAGGCCCCCATGCAAATCCAAAGCCGGCAGTTGGAAGACGTAGTGTTGCCCAGAGGCCACTTTGCTGCCGGAGCAGAGGTCGTAGGACCAGAAATCCTTGATCACAGTCAGGCAGCTCCCCCTCCATGGGGCGAGCTTAGCCTCAGCATTCGGATTGATCATACTGCCACTATTGTAGCACCATCAACTGAAATTCGCAGTTCCTCTTCTTGAAGGCTCGGAGAAGCGGCCAGGGCACTGCCAGGAAGTGCGCTTTCGCATCCGGCGCCCCAGGCAGGTGCTGCGAAATGTTCTTGCCTCCTGAGGTTCCGACAGAACAACAGGCTTTTACGGACAGACTGCTGCCACAACAGTTGTCCGTCGAGCAAACTGCCCCTGCAGCTTGGCAGCCAGGTAGTCGGCATCTAAATTTACGACGCCCATTCGCCAGGTTCATGACTTTGACATCCTCAAGACAACACGAGCTGCATGGGAGAACTCTTCTGAAAAGGCCGTGTTGAAGGCCTCGTCATCGAGATTGTCCAGGCCTGCTGCCTCGGTGGTAGAGCTGTCGAAATCCAGATTGACCACCTCGCCGATGCACAGCTACGCATCTCCGCTTTTCGTCGAAAATCGTTGTGCCGCTCAGAACAACTCTTGCATTTCGGGTCGTACGGCGGCTGCCGTCCCAGACCCTTCAGAGAGCTACCAAATCTGAATATCTTGCAACACAGAAGAGCTGCCAATCCGTTTTCCTTGTCAAGTTGCATAGTTGGCATGCAAAGATGCCACGAAATTGGCACTTGCCTGGTCAGCTGCACTTCTCTGCCGATGGCAAACCCCGGAACACGATGTGCCACACCTTGTACAGTTGCAGCGTGCATAGGGCTGCCAGCAATTGCAACATGCTCGGGCACTCTCCGCGGCCCAAGATCCTAAAGCTACGTGAGAATGCGAGTGGAGTGAGTGTTGTGAGGAGTGTCTGAGTACATACTCTAAGGTCCTGCCTAGGCTAGTGATGGCGTCAATGTAGGAGCGTGCCGCGACTTGATAGCAGGAGATGTATGAATCTACGAGTATGGCTGACTCCCGACTCTGATGGACTATCTCACATTGTCACATGAACCGCGTGCGGCGCCCTTTGCATGCAGGACCACCGTTCTGGGCCGATGTGAGTTCACCGTTCCTGCTTGATCCAAAGCCTTGGCAGGATTGCAGCATGTTCGTCCCCGAAGCGTTCGACCGAAAGAACATCGGCCACAGCACACTGATGGCAGCTTGTCGCAGAACGTCCAACCATTTGGGTTGTCCAAGTCTTGGCATCGTGCTGTGTGACGCTTGCTGAGCGGCACCTTGCGAGCGGCTCGAGATCAGATGACGACTATGCCAGCTCCATGAATATCATATTTGCTGTTACAGAACAGATCTATCAGTGAGCCGTTACGTTACAAGGTGAGTTGGACTGTGAGCTTTGGTTGCACTTCAGCCGTCGACATCTTCGCGTTTGTCAGACAAGAGCAGACGACGGCTCCTCACAGACATGACTTAGGCTTGCCAGAGACTTTATGTCACATGCTGCCACTTCTGCTGGTTCGGAATCCGCCAGAAAGCCCTGAAACCTAGACTGTCAGACTTTCGCGCGATATCGAAGCCCTTTAGCTTTCCCATGTGACGAGATCTGCAAACCTGGTCCTTTCTGCCCGTCCGAGGAGCTTCCATCACCAAGTGGTGAAGTTCTTCACGCTTCTTCAAAAGAGCGTCTGCTGCCTTGCTACAGCACAGGAGATGGACGTTGAACCATGCTGGACCGCTAGTAACGGTGGTCGTTAAAGTACCCGTACTCTTGTCTTGCATCTTGCGACGACGATGCTTTGAATGGCGAAGAATGCTGATGCTGCAGTCATGCACTGAATGGTAAGCGAAGACTATCAGCGATGAGGCTTGAATTCGATGAACTATGATGACAATCATGACGATGATGAGGAGGTTGGTACAAATGACTGCTATACACCATACAGTGCTTGATTGCAGATGTGCGTAATTTGAGGCTTTCTCGCCGCCAATGTTGAGTTGTACCGCTTCCCTCAGAATGTTAGGCTATTGCTTGTGCGGCCGACACGGCCCTGACGGGAACTTCGAGGACGACGAGTTCATCCAGTGCACATCGTCATCACGACTATATACAGTTATATCTAAAAATGCAATATGTATGTATGCATATATACACGCATACAGACATTCACACATATCATAGCACATCATATCATACCATATTCTACCATGCCATACATACCTATACATGGCAAGTTCACATTATTATATTGGCTATGACGACAGGAATGATGAAGGGGTCGCACCTCACTCTGCTCCTTGCCAAATTTGGCCTTGAGGGCTTCAGCTGGAATTGCCTGCTAGCGGGCAGGCGGCGTGCGCGCTACCGGAAGGTTACCACCTGCAAACATGCTTATCCAGTCCAGCTCACTTCACGAAAGCTCAAACGAAGTGCCACATGCTAGCCCAGCTGCACAGCTCCAGCATGCGATTAAGACGTGAATATTTACAGAATGTATTGCAGAAAGGGCTGTGCGAATTTTCGGTCTGTCCTGTCTTTCTGAAGCTTTGCACACACTTCTGGAATCTGCATTATCCAAGCCCGCCTCCACTGAGTCTGACAGTTTGTTGATGCTAGCGACGGCATTGACCATGTAATCGAAGGGCTTGGAGCATTGTTCCGGCAAGAGTTCTGTTCGCAGCATGTTCCTTCCAGGCGAGGGTTGCTTCCCTCTGAGGCTTCCGGCAGCTCGGTCTGCAGCTGAGCGGCATCATGCAGCATGCGTTGAAGGTGAAGGGATGCAGAAGAGCCTGAAGCAGATGGGGTGGAGTCGTGGAGTCTCACAGCAGAATTCGCTTGCGGCTCCGCTCATGACCCCTGCTTCGCCTGCGGCTGGAAGGAGTCCAAAGAGGCATTGAAGAGTTGCGCGTCCAGCTGCGAAGTCACGGCCTCCGAGTCTGAAATCTGAAATCCAAGTACCACGATACTCTCTGGTCACGTGCCGCGGCGGACTTCTTCGCGACTTTGGTTTAAGAGCCCTCCGGTCTTCTCACACTCCGCGTCTACTTCGGCAAGGCAACTCAATGAACTCTTGGAAACGGTCTGGCCGCTGCCCAGAGGTGCTGGTGAAAAAGGAGGACACCCGTTCCCTCCGAATGAGGACTCGGCTACGAGATGTTGTGAGGGCTGCAGTTCTCGCGAGCGCACCTTCAGGAATCGAAGAGATGATGTGGAACTCGGATCCAGCCTGCCGTGTTGCAAAGGATCCTCCCGAAATCTGGCGAACACCTGCTGGTTATGAAAAGAGTGACAGGCAGGGAGCATGCATGAAATCAATTTGCTGACGCGCTTCTTTGGCTGCTAAGCCTGTCCCTGCCCCGTACAGCTTCTGCGAAGGCTATGCGGCTATGCAACTGCCATCTTGAGGACTTTAGTGCTGGAGGCTTGGTAATCAACCCATTGCGATGTTTCGCTGTGTCTCCGAGAGTCCCTGCAATGCAGAAATACGTGTCCTTTGATTGACAGCCATTGCAAGGCCCAGGATGTGCGGTGGAACCTGCAACGCATTCCGCTGTCGAAGCACCTCTACGCGCAATTGCTCGCTTCAAGCTAGCGGCTTGCCTCAGAGCCGTTCTTGACAACTCCGGAGTCTGGGAAGTGGAGATCGGCTTGCGACTGGAAGTCGCCTGGCCGTCGGCTCCAACATGTCGAATTCTTGGACAGCAGCGTCACTATGTCAATGCTGTAGGGACGGCACGTTGCTGACCACGCTGTCTTTCTTCACCCAGGATGGAATATGCCATGCTGCTGTTCCTCAGCATGGCAGCCCGATAGAACAATCTGCAGGAGACCAGGGTTGCAGGAGGCTTCCAAGCGCATGACATGCTGTTTGATGTCTCAATGTCCCTGTGCCGAGGCTCAACATGCGCTTGAAGGGGCCATCCCTCTTGCACGCACTGCGCGGTTCCTCGTCAAAATGCAACATGTTGCTCTAGCTCCGACAAGGACAGCAGCTTAGATCGTGGACCCTGCGTCTCGGAGCAAGAAGCGCTACACAAAGTCAGAAACCGACTGTTTTCTCGTACCAGTATCTACGCTCGCAGACCCATCGTGGCCTCGTGGTCGATGTCAGGCAGTGCCCATGAAGACGAACTCGGAACCGCAGATGGGTGCACTGAGAGGCTCCAGCTTGGCTTTCCAACAACCCATCTGCTGCGGTCATCGTCGACACGGGCATGCAGCATGCATTTCTTACTCGGACATGAAAGGATGAACGCAGCAAATGCGCTCTTGGCTAGGGCGTTTTTATGAGGAACATGTGCACCTTTGCCGCCCAGGCGCAGGCAGCGTGCCACCACTCGGCAAGTCTCGATGTCCTCCTTGTCGTCCTCGAACATAGTTTTGGAGCTGTGCCGACACAGCGGACGGCCATACAATGCAAGAGCTTACAGAGGTGACAGTCACGTTACAGCAGCCGTCATTCGTCCATGTACAGTACATAAACAGTCAGAGGCCGACTTCTGTCCTGATGACAACTGCTCGGTGCCGTCTCCTCCTGGAACAGGTCGTAGCAGAACTTGTGAAGTCTCTCTGATCCAGTATTCAGCTCTGTCAGTCTATCAGGAGTCCTTGCGCAAGGCTCTGAAGCTCACCTGCCAGGAACGAACTGCATACCTTCCAAAGTTGCTCTGGTCGTGAGATTCATTGTCATTACTAGTAGCACTGGGGACATTCAATGTTTTACTGCATGCCATGCACAGCTTTACCTTCGCATGTGGAGCGTCCAAAGCCTTCCACGCGGTTGGAGCATCTGTCTCCGGCACCTGACTCAGAATGCGGTCGGAGAATGACGTGAATGAGCTGCCCAAGCTGCAGGGGTCTCGCTCAGCCTCTTGGCTCAAGTGTTGCAGTCTGCAATGACAGCGCTGCTTAAGAAAAGATGACAATTCCACGAGAATGCGCTGTCCACAAGTATTTCTGAAAGCTCAAGTCACCTGCTACCGGCGTTCTCTTGAACTTGCACACTCCTACACTCCGGGCAACCCCAAAGTCCTGAGCCGTGGAATGCGCAAGAAGGCCCCACCACAGGTGCTCTTGCAGGTAGAAGCATGGCGAGGCTCTGGTTTCCGTTTTTCACCATCATTCCAGAAGGATGCAGGGGTTCACTCGACAGACTGGGTGCATAACCAAAGTAGCTAGCGTAACACTGTGCTCGCAACAGAAGGCAACAACGGCATCCCGCACCGATGCACTCGCCCTCGCGGCACTGCCTCTGCCTGCCAGATTCGACACCTCTCACGCCATGCTTGGATCCTGAGATCAGAACAACTGCAAGTGCAGGAAATCCCGGCAACCTTACCTTTCTTCAGCTACAGTGCAGCCGTATAGACTTTCCTCCTGCGTTTCTGGTCAACTCGCCGACTGTCTAGCTGCTGCGGCGTAAGGAGGTACGATGTCGCGTCTGACCACGGGATCACATTATTGTGCTGCCAAGTTTCGTGGGGCCTCCGGTCCGCAAGGCACCGCTGAGCAAAATGTGCGGCATGGACAGCAGCGAGTCCTGAGATGAAGAGTGCGAAGCAAGCTTCAACAAACCATAGAAGAGGTGAAGAAGTCCTCCGACGCTGAGATCCGCTTCAAGGTCCTGCATCGCCAACTTCAAATGATTCGAAGGTCTGCCGTCGCATCTCAACCTGAGAGCCCAACAGTGAGTTCGCCGTCCCAAAGAGATGGCCCTCAGTGCGACCATAGCGTCGAGGCCGAGGTTCCGAGGCGAAGCCACGCTTTTTTGAAGAGGCAGGCGCTTCGCGAGACTTCGTTGTAAACTTTGCAACGTTCAAACACTGCGAGGGGCCGCCGGCTCTGTACAGGAACCCCTTGGCAGCAAAGCCCGCCACGTGCATGCTGCCATCAAGGGCAATCTGATTCATGAGCTTCAGGAAAAAGGTGCACTCTATCTGACTCAATCTTGCGCCGTGCTCACAAGGCAACCCTTGAATCTCTTCAGGCTCAGTGGGGTGCTCCCGTTCCCCGGCGCCTGTTCAGACATTGCTCTGTCACCGCTGCTGCACGTGTGCTGGCTGGGCGCTCGCGCAGAACCCTGATTACGGATAGTTCATTCTACTTCGTGGCCTGCCACATCGGGTGATGAGTCATCGGCATCCGAGCAGTTCAGCCCTGCGGCGAAGTCCAGTAAGCCCAGTCACAGAAGACGTCGCCCTGATCGCGTAGGAAGGAGGCAGTTTGCGAATCCAATGAATCTGAATACACAGATGAGACACCTTTGACTGGACTCATAACTATGACTATGACCCGTGACAGCTGGCAGGGTTTGTGCAGCTTCCGTGGCCGTGCCTCTGCGAAGTTGATGCTGTCCGAATCCTTCAGTTTCGCGTGCAACTTCCTGAGTGACTTGACTTTGGCTCCACCAGCAGCAGCAGCAGCCGTGCAAGTGAGTCTGATCCACCAACCCCGCTCTACGACTTCTGTGCTTCTAATCCGCCTCGGATTCCTCTTAAGATTCCTAAAGAGGGCTCATGCCCTCCATGATCCCGACCAGACGCACCTCTCAGAGAATCCTTTTGCGTTGAGTTGTTGGAGATCGGAGTTCTTCATTCGGATGCAACGACTGCCCTCGACTCGAGCAGCTTGCGCCCCTCCCGTCCTAGGTACCTGTCCAGACTCCAGACCCCTCCAGCACCGCCGGCACCTAACATGAATCTGAGTTTTCGTGCCGAGGCGTGCCACTGCTCATGATCTTGAGGAGCTACCGGAGCCCTCATTTCCGGTGGGGTTTAGTGCTTCTGGCACTTCCCATCTGAGGGTGGAGAAAGCAGACCCCAGTCTACAGCACGGGCGGCCACGCAGTTTCTTGGAGCTGCCGATCCGCGGAACACAGGATGCGCGTGGAGGCCGAGATTCAGGGTTCGGTTGTTGTTGTTCAAGAGGTCAAGTGAAATAGCGCGTTCGGCACTCGGCCCAGGAGGTCCGGATGATCCTCATGAGGCTACCTTGCTTCGGCTGCGCCAGCGCACGCGCGCGCGCGCCCCCCCAAACTGGCCAGCTTCGAGAGCGCGCATGTCAGTTTGGCTTGACATTGAGCGGGGAGCCCTCCCAAAAGTCAGACAGGATAAGATCATGGGCCGAGCTGCAAGTACTGCTCCTCTGTAATATGACCGGTACCTGAGGTTTCAGCAGAACATATAGCAGAACCAACCGGCTGTACTGTGGCAGGACTCTTGAGGGGCCAGCTGTCAAGCTCAATGGTCGCCAGGAGCCTCAGGTCTTCTGCAAGCGGATGACAGGCCCGGATGAGCTTCGGCGATCTTTTATGAGGTCCATGTCCGCCTTCGAAGCAATGCCCGCCGAATATTGGGATCTCTTGCTCGAGGAAAGCCCTCAGTGCATCTCAGCCCAGAAGAAAACTTGAAGGGAGATGTTGCCAATCTCCCAGCCTTGGGGATACCCTCCAAGAGCTCATCGCGGGAGATCGTTTTGCTCTGGCAGTCAGCAGTCGCAGGGGAGCTGAACACTGACTGCACTCCCATGATACTGTCCAAGGGCCCCGTATCCGCCTTATCCACGTCCAATGTCTGAAAGCTGGGCATTCTCCTGATCTACATCAACAGATGGCGTCTGGAGACAGGTACAATAAGTTGTTGGACCAGAAATTGTCAGCGACTTGACTTGGCCTTTCACGTCTAGCAACGAAGGGGACAACGTCAGATCAAATTTGGGCCGTGTGCCAGGCTAAACTGCCACATCTGCCACGCTACACTTTACAGGTACTTTACCACAAACAGGTGGCACCAAATTACCGCACAGTGCCTTCAACACCCTTTCGGATATCGTCTGTGCCAAGCGGCAGCCACAGAAGTCGCGTGAAGTGCCGCGTGAGGTGCTCCTCAGGGGAATTTGCTGCGTCGGTACAGTGTGGAGGCGAAGCAGCAAGAGTTGCTAATGACAGGCGGGAATCCGCAGCAGGCTGGCAGGCTTCGAAAGGCGGCACAACATTGCCTGCGGCGGTTGTGACGTTCCAAGCTGCCCGACATGCAACTTCGGGTTTCAGAGCGTGCCTTGAGTGCTGGCCCAAATCTCAAAAACAGAGTTGCCGTTCATCCCACGAAGAGCCGCGTGGAGCAAGGCCTCGAATCTATGACATCAGTGTCTATGAGCTGCTTCCTCTGCTTCCTTTCCGGTAAGGCCAAAGCAACTTTGTACCTGCCACGGCTCAAAACAAGGCAGCAACGTGCAACCGCTGCTAGCTTTTGGATGCTAGCTCAGGAAGAGCCTCTTGCTCAACACGATGGGCTTCCCGCTGATGTGGGTTACTGCATGGTCTGTAACCTGACGCTTCTCAAGACACCTTGCAGCTACCGAAGGCCAAACCCTATCAATTGGCAACAGCCTGCCTGTGTGCGGCTGTTCGTTTGCAAGAAACCGCCAGGAACTGGCTCTTGTACCATGGCTTCGCCCGCCGCCTCGCTTGGCAGAACTGTTGGGACGCAAGCTTTCCGGCTGTGGAAGGGGGCCACCACAGTCTTCATCCGCTTGCGGAGCCAAGCAGCTGCCACTTTGCTGCCCAGCCGTCCAGACTTCGTCTTCACCGGTGGTTGGACTCGGAGGAAATCGGCCTTGGCAGGCCGAGGCACGGCCGCGGCTTCGGGCTGCATGAGACTGCCGAGGCACAAAGCGACCGGTCGCCTTAACACGCTTGGAGGGTGCTCAACTCTCACTTCAAGTGAGGCTATACTCGGAGCTAAAAAGCATGTCTCAAACAGTGCTGCATGTGGTAGAGTATGTAGGAGAGCGAAAGAGCGAGACGCACCGTCTTTCAGTTGCTCCCATGATGCATGTCAAGCCGAGCTGCATGTTTCCTGGAGAACACGACAGCCTCAAGAGCGTTTCACCCGGCGTGAAGGCTCTGGTCTCACGCAGACGTTCTTCTTATCGCCTTGTTGATGTCTTCCCCCGTCATGGAAACAATGGCAATCTCTGATGGCCAAGGAAGCTCCCTTCGAAGATCCGTCACCTGAAATGTCGGTCGGCCCAAGGGCAACAAGGCTTCGAAACGTGGGCCATGGCAAGACTTGGCACCCGGCTGTGAACGCCCACCTCGGCAGCCATGGTGCAGAGTGCACTACAGACTGTTACTGTCATGCTCTCCTTCTCCTTCGCCTGCTGTTGCTTCGAGTTTCCCATGCATCTGCTGACTTTCACTCTTAAAAATGTTGGCACACTACCCACTGGATCTCCTTCCTGCAGGGAGTTGTCCTGATCGTCCGACATGCAATCCTGACCTGACCCGAGACCGTCGACGCCTACACAGCAACCATCTTCCTTCGCCCATTGACTTAGCCACTTTCTTCCCTGCCCACTCCCTCTCTGCAAGTCGTGTTGTTCCGGCGCCCCTTTTGCCGCAGTGCGGTTTCTGGGAGTTCTTGGCAAAGTCCCAGTACATGCCGAGACGCTTGGACCCTCTGTGATGACCTTTGACTGGAACGTAGTCACGGTTGCCTCTTCAAGGAGTCGAGCAAGCTGGGCTGTGGAACGAAAAATCCATCCATGTACAACATATTACATATACGTTTGTAATGACTATCTGGCCCGACTGTGATGCTTCGCTAGAGGACCTCGAATGTTGCCACCATCGAAAAGCACAACGTCCACGTCAAGCTCAGAGCGGAGAGCGTCACCTGGCATTGATGCTTGCACGGATGTACATATGTCTGTTTGCATTCGTGAACTGAATTGAATGCATGTGTGCCTTGGGCCTAGCAGGTTCTCCAAGCTTCTCTGCCAGAATGTACTTGTCTATCACTACCACGAAGGTGCTCGGAGATCAAGCCTCAAAGTCCTACTCCTATTGCGGCCGCAGGTCGTGCTTACTCAGGAGCGAGCAGGCAGCAAAGTGTCTGTCCGAGTCTTGCCTTATGCTGCATTTCGTGTCTCTGCGCTTCTTTACTTGTGGCGGATTCGCTGCCATCTGAAATCTGATGCCTCCGTTGCTGCGGCTGTGCTTGCTGGGAAAGCATGGCGGTTGCGCAAAGAAAGCTTCCCATGCTCGTTTGCTTGATGCAGGCGTCCTTGGAAGACATCTCCTGCAAGGTGGATCGGACTGCATGAGTCGAACGTGTGATCGGCACATTTACGAATCTTTGTAAAAGTTGCGAATGCCAGCAGCAACAGCTCATGGAGATTGCTCTTGCAGTGCACGGAGGCGCGCTCCCCCCTTTTTGCCTGTCTTCGCCGCAAAATCTAGAGGTTTTCGAACACGGGTCCGTCGCGCATTCTACGGGCCTCGTGACATTGAGGTCGGCTCTCGACTCTCGACGGACAAGTCAGGAAGCTGCTCGACCATGACTCTGCGGCTGCCGGCTTCAAAGAGCCCGGTATCGTGTCGGACCCTGGTTTCCCCGGTGGATTCCCTTGGACCCGTGGAGGAGGACATTCGCTGGCGGTTCGTGTTGCCGGAGTTCATCTCTTCTTGGAGGGGTCGGAGACGGAGTCCTGCAGCCGTGTGGCACTTTCATAGCTCCAGTTGCCGTGCCTTGAAGGTCCTGATCAGCTTGCACTCGTGCCCACCACGGCAGCAACCTGATATTGACACCTTGCGGCTGGCACTGCTACCATCTACAAAACGGGAGCTTGGTCAGTCTGCGGGACAGCTCATGCATCATCATGCATCCCCTCCCCAGGAAGCAGATCTGAGCAGCTGAGGCACGAAGCACGGCAC